GCTGCTAAATAAAGTTGTTTAAAAAATACTTAAGATTAGATTTTTTTTTTTAATAGTTTTTATAATTCTTTAAATATATAAATTGTATTTTTCTTTTTCACATGCTTTTTTTTATAAAAAATTTTTGTTACCATCCTAATAGCTTCAAAGAGCTCAATTTTTTTATTAAATATATCTGTCTTTTTATTTATATTTTTTATTTGTTTGCCTTTTTTTTGTAGATTTTCAACATGATCTATATAATATTTATTATATAAAATAGTGCATTTCTTTTACATTATCTTTTCTAAACTATTAGTTATAAGTTTATTTAATTTGTTTTTAGTCAATAAATGGAATTTAGAAGATTATATGATCAGGTGTTTGTACAATACTTTTTTTTTTTATATTAAGGTGATCTTTTTGGTTCTGACTTTTTATTAATACTTATATCAAACACATATACATATAGACCTATCTATATTGAACTATCAGATAAGTATATAACTAGCTACATATATAACTTTTCTATATTACTTATTTAAAAAGTTTGCTTGAAAGTTCACTACCAGTTGCTATACTTAACACATCTGCTTAGATGTTTTATTTAAACTTTCTAATTTGGTCCTGATATTAACTTCATCAGATTAAAAACCCAAATCCTTTTACTATTAACCTTTAGGACTATAATTCTTAGACTATTTTTATTTTTAAAATAAACTTACCAGAGTGAGCCATATTTCTTTTTATTGCTAACCTGATTTGATGCTATGGTAAAACCAATACTTGCAATTAGGATTATTCATTAAACTGCTATTACTTTTGTAAAGTTTACTCAAATTCTAATATCTATCTTTTTGATATCTGCTTTATTATCTTCTATTAGCTGCAACTTAGAACTAACAGACTTTCTAAATTTTCAATTCAAATGACCCAATATAGTATACTTATGTATCCTTTTCTTTTGATGATTTCAGTAGTCTGGTTAGTGCATATGCTTTCTCTTACATACCTGTTATCTAGTTTATTTAACAGTTTTTATAAAGATGTTTTATAGGCTTTCATCAGTTTAATAATACTATTAAAAGTTTGTACTACTTCTTTATTTAGAATTTTTAAATGAGTTTCTATCTTTCTAGTTTTTTAGTCTTCTATGCTCAGTAGTCTTATTATAGGTTTGTACTAAAGCCTTATGCAATACTGACTTTTCACATTTCTTTATATATATATAACATTATACTTCAAATAGATATCTTAAGCTCTCAATATCAGGTAGGTCCCAACTTGGTGGATCTAAGATTACAAATATTCAAAACCCAACTAATTAGCAAGAGACAGTTACTATAATACAGATATAATTTTCAAATTTTATCATCTATAGGAATTGAATATTAGATCTGTTATTTAGAGATTGACAACCTATTTAGTTTACTAAGTTACTACATCATGTTTGTACAATACTTACTTTTAAACATATTTAATATTAATATAAGTTGTAAATTAAGAATAATTAACTAAATATTCTTATATGCTAAAACAAAAATTCATTTTCATAAAATTCTAATCTACCTTTCATAAAGAGAATAAGTTATATAAATTTTGTAAAAAAGTATTTTAAAACATATAAATTATAACTTTACTAAATTGTATAATATGTTACTATTTTTAAGTACATTTTTATCTGTTTGTTTGAAAGCTTTAAATTATTAAGATCATGTATTAGTTAACTAATATTATTTTAATATTTAAATAAGATTTAGTTATGTTTTTTTTAATTAAAAAATTTAATACAATATAGTTTTCAAATTAGTTTATAGATTTGTTTATTAATATATAGAAATTTTGAATTATTAATTGTAAAGCTAATTATAAAGATATATTAAAGTTATAGATAACTTCAATAAGTAACTTATATATAAGTTTTTTAAGTACAATATTTATAAAATGTAGATTGTATTAAAATAGTATATAATCAAAGCATAAATGATAATATATTTTAGAAATTAATTCTTTAAGTTAAGAAAATAATAAGTTTAGTTCAGTTTTAAAAAATATTTAGTTAATAAATATGTAAATAATATTAAAAAAAATATTACAAACTCTTTCTAACAATCCCTTATACCAATTTTTTCCAAAAGTCTGATCTATGGAAACTATATAGTTATTATATTCAAATATAACAAAACTCTACTTTGAAGTAACTAGTGAGACTATTTACTATATACTTGATTGTAACTGAAAAAAACTAAAAAAAATTTGAACCTTTGTAAGCAAAGTCTTTTGTTAAAACACAAGTACTACTAAGCAAAAAAGTAGTAAATAAGCTCTGAAGTTTTGTCAAGTGTTATGAAGACTTAGGCTTAAATAGTTACTTGGTTTAATATAATATTCTATATAGCATATACTCTTATAACTTCTTTTCAAATTAGTTCTCTTTTTATCCTCACTACTGGATTTTTCTTTCAGAATTTTTACCAAAAAGTGAAAAATCTAATGTACCTTCTCAAAAGGATTGATACTGTTTATTGTTCCAAATTGGTAATATTAATCATGAGAAAGTCACAATATTACATATCTGACCTATAATGAATAACATAGATCAAACTCAAAAGGAAAATAAAAACTTCAATCATTCTTCCCACCTATATGATAAATGAAATATATTATAATATAAAAATAAAGTAAATGTAGAGCATTCTTTATTTAGTATTATATTGAATTTTTAAAGCCAAGCATAGACAAAAACAGTGCTTTCATGTTTTTTGTTTTTTCTTTGTTCTTCTTTTTGTTATCTTTTTCTTTTTTTTCTTTTGATTTATATTTAGGTTTTGTAATTAGTTTCATCTTTTTTTTATTTTTTTTAGTTTTTTCTTTCATATATCTTGTTGTTCTTTAGACAAGGATTATAGAATCCTCTTGCTTGATAATTAAAAGAGAGGAAAAAATGAATCAAAGATGAAGTTAAGAAGACAATATTGGAGCTTGTTATAAAAGGGAGAAACCCCTTTCATTATGGACTTTAAGTAGTCTGATGAGCAGTTTACTTTTGCTTAAAGTAATGTGACAGATCTGCACTTAGGCATCATTAGGGTGGCCGGGTGATGCTAGACTTAATTGTTAAACATTGATGTAATTATAGTAATTATTAGAATATTAATAAAGTACTAACATAACTGTCTAAGAAAAAAAACAAAATTATATATATTGAAATATGTATACCAATGTGTAGATGAATTAGAAAAATTGTACTTAAAGCAATTGGTATTAGTAAAAATAAAAAGGTATCTGTTATAAAGAAAAAATTGAATAAGCAATTTATTTAGTAAGTATTTAGTTTTAAAACTTTAAGTTAATTGAGTTTAAAACTAATATGACTTAGTAATGTTAATACAGATGCAGATTCAAAGAATTTAAAATGAAACATCTAAGCAAAAGTGTTAGATACAGCAATTGATAAAGAACCTTTAGGCAAACTTCTTAAATAGGTAATATAAAAAAGTTATATATATAACCAATTGTACATTCTTCCTGTAATGGTTTATAGAATCACATTATCAAAAAGTTGATAATAAAAATTAAAAGACTAAAGAGGTCATCTTAACAATAAAAAAAAAATGATTTAATGAAAATTAGCTTACTTATAAAAAAAACAAAAGATTTCAAAATTATTAAAAATTATTAAAAAATAGTAAACTTAACCTAGATTTTATTATTGTTATATTATAGTTATACTGCTGATTTTAGACGGATTATTATTTAATTTTAAAAAAATTTAATATTATATCTATAGGTATAATACCTAATATAATGTTTATATAGTGCTCTATATATATTAAGGTTAGAGTTAAATTTGTAGTTATATATAATTTAGATGCTAACAAATTTTATTTAATATATTTAGATATAGTTTTCTTAGTAACATTAAGATATTAATGATCCTTGATTTTTTTTTATACTGAGTATTATATCTACCAAGTACAAATATAAATTCTCAAATTTAATTATTATTTTTGTTGCAATAAATAAAATTTACAAATCTAACTAAATAATTTTGATTTTAATAATAAGTTCTATATATATAATTACCAAATAGGTTTAAACCATTATTTTTACGTATAAAAAAAAATTATATATTTTAAAATTATATAATTTTTATTATATAATTTTTGTTATCTAATAGACTACCAACATTATAAAAAAGATTACAATTTTTATATTCTTGTACGTATATTACGTACGTAATGGGGATGACCGATATCTAATATATTAAAACTTGAACAAAAAATATACATGTGACGTACCAAAAATGAGTGTGGAAATATTAGTTGCCTAAAAAAAAATTATTGTTGTAACCGAATTTTCAAGTATATCTTTGTAATAAATTAGTATATACAGTATACGTATAAGAAAAGCATTAAATATTTGCTTTCTAATAATTTGTACGTACAAGACCAACCATTACTAATAAGGAATATGAAATAATTTAAACTAATAAGGATAAATTATTGAACATTTTGCTGAACAATCCATTTTAAGAGTCACAATCCAATTTAAGAGTTACAATCTACTAGCCAAATATTGATAAATGCCGTAAAAAAAATAAACCAGAACTGGTTAAAGTAATTTATGCTTTTTGGCACGTTTTTACATGTTACTAAGTTGAATTAAGTTAATTTGTTAAGTTTTTGATCGTAATGGTAATACGTACTTAAAAAAAAAAAGCGCATTTATAAACAAATAAATATTTACCGGTTTACAAAAAAAAAAAAATCTAGGGGCAACGTATCCGGGACTAAAAATCATTAGTGATTAAAAAAAATTGAATGGCTAACGCTAATGATTAGATTATGGCTTTATCAGGTTTGGCGCACAATTAGTCATATGAAAACTTTTTCCCGTGGATCAACAAGTTTAATAATAATTATATATATTTGTAGAAAAAAATAATACCATTACCTTTAAGCCTTTTCTAAAATTCATAACGATTAATTTTTGACCTCTTTTTTTTTCTTTTTACGAAAATGGCTATCTCTATTGTTCTTGCTAATTTTCTTATATACGTTGTTATGGTATTTTTTATGTTTATCGGTTTATATGCCGGTTACAAAGAAACAAAAACAAAGACGGATTTTTTGTCATCTATTGGAACTCAAACGGCTTTAAGCCTGGCAGCAAATTGGTTTGCTTCGAGTGAGTTGAAAAGACTATAACGATAGATAATTGGAATGTAGCGGCAGTTAGGTTTGTATTGTCCATGATGGACAGGTAAGGTGCTTATAATCATATCCCTCTTTAAAGTGCCAAGATTCTTTTATGATAAATTGAATACTTGTTATAGAATTGTCAGAGATTATGTAATAACCTTGCTTTCATAAAAATACATTCACAAAATACACTCCACCATCTTATAGCATCTTATAACATCTTATAGCATCTTATAGTCTTATAGACGTTGCATAATGTCTGGTGATTCTGACATGTCAGAAAATTGAAATATGTTTATATTTTAAATCGGCACTACGGGTGCTTGACTGTAAATGGATTACCACATAGATTTTCTTCGTCAATATAATTGACGTATGTTTTTCTTCTGGTATGAAATTGACTGTTGGGCTGAGATAGCACCGTTATAACCTGATCAGGGTAATGCCTGCGTAGGGAAGCTGCCACTTCATAAAAATATAGTCATAATTCTATAAATGCACTCTCTAACAATTCACACACTTTGGTTTCAGTTTATAAGAACTCTATATATTTTATTCTCTATAAATGAATACCTTTTCTAAATACACATTTTAATTTTTTTTTCACTATGATCCTGAGGGTAGCGCATTTAGAGAATTGTGACATTATTGATTTTTGTTGTTACTACTATTATTTTAGCCATCAACGCGTGATTATATGATATTTTGAGAAAAAAAAAAGCACGCGTCGAAGCTATTTTTATTAGTGATTAAAATAATTTATTGGAGGAATTTATTAATCCATATAGACCTTGGATCTTCTGTCTTATACGCTTATCCTGAAGTTGGTGTACGAGCTGGTATCCTTGGTAACTTTTGGTACGCGTTCGGTAGTACTATTCCGCTTATGGTGTTTGCCTGGCTTGGTCCTAAATTAAGGAAAAAATGCCCTGATGGATTCCTTTTAACATCATTTGTTTCTGAAAGATTTGGTAGAATTAATCAAATTTATGTTTCATTAATGTCTATGGCATATATGTTTTGTTATATGGTCAGCGAATTATCAGCTATTGATGGTATATTGAGTCTTTTGACTGGATATGATTTCTCTCATGTTCCTATAATTCTTATTACTATTACGACTACTCTTTATACTGGTAAATGATCACTTTATTTATGTCATTTAAACTATTTACATTCTGCCTTTGTTATAATGGACATCGTTATAGTGGATAGCTTGTGGTAATAATTCGTAATTCTCTAGAACAGTTTATCATCCCGATCACTATGTTATAACGAAGGTAGACAGAATTATTTAAACTATAAATATAAAATTAAATTGAAAATTATTTTTTAAATTAGCATACGGTGGATTCCGTGCCTCATTATTAACTGATAAAGTGCAAGGTTGGGCTATTGCTATTCTTTTAATAATCTCAGCAATAGGATTTGGTGTTACAGTGAAACTTGATCCAGGAGTAGTTAATTCTAGTCCGCTCCTACAATCAAATAAATTGGGTTGGGAATTATTATATATTATGCCTGTTGCCGTTACTTTTGCCAACTTATTCCATCAGGTATTATTATTATTTCGTATTATCTTGTAAAATAATAACATTTAACATTAACATAATATTATGATTATGATTTATAGGGTTATTGGCAACGAGCTTTCTCTTCTAAAAATGATCATGAATTAGTACATTCGGCAATTTATGGAAGTCTTTTACTTTTTCCCACTTTATTCTTAATTGGTTTTACGGGAATTATTGCAGCTTGGGCTGGTACATGGCCAGGATCTGATCCTAATAATCCTGTAGATCCTGACATGTCATTCTTTTCACTTTATACATTATTACCTGATTGGGTTAAAGGTTTTGTTGTAATCTTATCAGTTAGTTTAAGTTGTTCGGCTTATGATACTTTACAAAGTGCTATGGTATCTACTATGTCAAATGATTTATTCGACAATAAACTTCCTTTAACGATTATTCGATGCCTGACAGTACTTTTCAACATTCCTGCTGGTTTGTATCAAATTTTTTTTTTTTTTACAATTATGAATGAATATAAAAATTATTTAAAATTATTTAAAATTAAATTTTTTTTTTTTATATAGTAATTCTTGGTATCAGAAATCTTGATGTTCTTGTAGTATTTTTAGTTGGAGACCTTATAGCAGCTGCAGTAATGCCACCAATCCTTCTTGGTCTTATAGATTCACTTTATTTTCTAAATGGATTTGATTCATTAGTAGGTGGTTTAGGAGGGTTTTTTTCAATATTTATATTTGGATCAGCGTATTTTAATAGTGCATATGAAGGGGCACAATTATTTATTTTATCAAATGGTCTTTACACTGATGATTATTCAGTATTAGGAGCATTTATTGTTGCACCATTTGGTTCTATTGTTTTTACATTTTTAGCATTTGGAATTAGATTGTTTGGAATATTTATTTTGGCAAAAATTCAAGGAAAAGAATTTGAATTTCCCAAACCACAACCTGAATCTGATATCTCACAACCTGAACCTGATATTACTAAAGTAAAATCTGAAGATATTGAAAATGTTGTGACTAAAGATACTGAAGATGCTATGATTAAAGATTCTCATAATATGTCTAAAATAGTATAAAGAAACTAGTTTTTTTTTTCTGAGTTGAGAATGTTTGAAATATTTTATTATTATTATTATTATTATTATTATTTCATCGTTATTTTTTAATTGGTCATTTTTAGGAAGTTATTATTAAACATTCTGACTTATATATAACCAAATAAAGATCTTTTATTTATTTCCTCTAAAAAGTTCTAAAAATAAAAATTTTTGATCGGACAAGTTAATAATAAAAATATATATTTGATGAATTTAACTATCATTATTAATAAGAATAAAGTTAAAAATAAAATTAAGAATAAAATTAAGAATAAAATTAAAGATGAATTCGAAAAACAATGATTAAAAGTACAGCATAATCGACCATCTGCATATAGGTTATGTATGTACGTACGCGTTATTTAAGGACGCGAATATTTTAAAATAAAGAAATCTATTTTTAAAGATGATTTTCAAAATAACGCACATGCCCGTTATTTCAAAGTTATATGAAAATCCGAATTGGGTATAAGCACATAGTTTACTACTATCAAATGATTTATATAAGGCGCGCGTTATTTTTCAGGACATGCATAGGCGTTATTTGAACCAAATATAATGTAAACAAATATACTGTAATGGTAATATGTTAATATGTATATGTGGTTTTTAATTTTGCACAAGGTGTGCTGTGACGCACACCTAAGATCGGGTGTAACGTGAATCAATGACGCGTTAGTTAATGTTAGGGTTGGACTAGTGCTAGTGTGAAGCAAAAACAAACACGTATTTAAACAAAGAATAATTTATGAGTTAGAATCAGGGCTGTCAATTTTACTTTTCATTGAGAAAGAAAGCTAATGGAGAGGGTTTCATTGTTAATCCTAGCTACGAGCGTAACGATTTTCTCCGAGTTTATCTTTATTGTGAGACTTGGAATTAAATGGTCATGTTTTTTTAAAAAAAAAATTGATATTCGGCCTCTACATGGGCTGGTTAGGTCCTTTGATGAATTTTGACGAATTTTGACGAATTTTGTATCAGATAAATGTATCGGATAAATGTATCAGATAAATATATCTATAATAAATCTATTCATAGTTAGTAAGTAATATAGACATAGATTGTTGGTAAAAATTATTGGTAGAATGTTCTCAAATTGTATTAGAATGTGAAATTGTGTGGATTATAGATGCAGTAATAGATGCAGTAATTCTTAAGGCATAAAAGAAAATCCTTTTTTGTAATGTTTATGTATAAAATATTTTAATTTAGTTTTGATATTAAAGAACAATTAAAAATAAACACATTATCATGAAAATATCAATAACGGTGACGGTAACTATAATTATGTTTAAATTCGTTATAATTATTATTATTTGCTATGGCTGTTAGCCTTTCGGTCCAGACTTCATGAATAGGAAATTCGATTAGGACTCGGTCCTTGAGTCGAGTCCGTCCGTACATGTAATAATCAAATAAATCTCGATAAAATTAACCAATCATATGAATGCCTCCTCCTGATCACAATTCGAAGAAACGATATGCATTTAACCAATTATGTGGACTTTGTCCGGGATAGGTTTGAGTCAGTTCTAAAAAGTCTGTATGAAGGACCGGGTCCAACAAGCTTTTTAACAACCCTAATTACTTGCTCATTAAGTAAACTCATAATTCTTGGGTGATACATACCAAAACTATTCGTATATCACGCTTTTTTTTAAACTATTATTATGATATAAATTATCACTATGTTCTACGTACCTTAATTCTGACCTAACCATAATCTTAAGTCTTTATCGCATTCAGATAGATTTTTACATTATATTGATAATAGTGCAGTAGTGATATGTAATAATCTTTAAAGATGCTTTAGATTAGATTAGATACCAGTTGCTGTATATTAAGATTAGTTAAGATCGGTGGTATTCTTACAATTTCTACGCATATTGTATATATACAGTATATTGATCAATAGTAAATCATTAAATGTACAATTACAGGTTTTCACACTGCAACACTTCATATAGTTAATTTCATACTGACTGCAACACTTCATATAGTTGGAAAAAAAAATTTTTTTTTAGATTTTGTTCGATACAATATATAAAATTTGGAAATAAAAATTACAGTACATCTAAACCTGGCCAAAATCAGACTAAATGTAATAAAGTTTTTTTAATGATTTTTTTTTTATACTAGCGCTAGTCAATTTAGCAATGTTACCCAAACTATTTGGGATGTCCCAAATTATGTGATGAATAATATAGTATAAGATATTTATCTTCTTATTGTTATTGAAGAAATCGTGTGATGCTATTCATCACATAGTTTGGAACGTTCCAAATAGTTTGGGTAACATCGCTATAGTCAATCAATTAATTAAATATTATCGATATGCAAGTTTTTTTTTTTCAGAAATTTAATGATAAAGGAATTGTGCTACTATTTATTGCCAAGTTTTATCAAGTATAACCAAGTATAACCAAGTGTTATCAATTTCTGAAACTATACCTTGAGAAGCGTATCTAAAGATTATAAATCTTTAGTTAATAAAGAAAAGATAAAAATTTGTATAAAAATACATAAGCAAAATAAAAAATCAAAAAAAAAATCGTTGACATTCGTTATGAAATTCGTTATGAAATTCGTTATGACGATTCGTTATGACGATTCGTTATAACAATTCGTTGTAACAATTCGTTATAACAATTCGATTCACTTTTTTTTCATTTGCCATGTGAGCACTTTTATCGGAGATCGTTTCGTTGGATTCTTATTGTGAATTGCAGATGCAAATAATAAATAAATAATTGAACATATGCATGCATGGGCACAGAAACTATGTGTATGCGCATAGATTTGGTAAAGCCTAGTTGGTCAAAAGACAATAGTATGGGGCCCATTTCGATTGGCGATTGGCAATTAGCAATCCCTTCCCTTAACGTTAGTTCTTATCTTATCCTCGTATTATAAATGCAGCAAATTGTGATTGGTTAAATTCATATGTATATATACGTACGTAACATGTATATTGATATATTTATGCACTTACGTACGTATTGGTATGTACTTATATACTTACGTATGTACTTATCTACTTACGTACGTACGTACGTACATACGTAAATATCCTACGTTCGTAGTTATCGTTATGTATAAAGTTCTGATTATGCGTAACGTGGTGTAATATTTCACATTTTTTTCTGGGGGCATTATTGCGTTATCATTATTATCATTACTTAATTGTATTTTACACTTTCTATGTTAACGATCAACGTAATCAGATGATCAAATAAAATAGTTTTAGTAATTATACGCGAACTCTAAAAAAAAAAAAAAAAAATGATAATATAATGAAAAAAAAAGTTTTTACCTTCTCAATGTGTAGTTCAATATATATCCCTGTTTGAACGTGTATTTTAAACGAGAGTATTTAGTTTTAAAAAGTTTATTTTAAGCCAAGTGTACATTTATAGCATTTAAAGGGGTGTTGACATTATCATTATTGAATTATATGATACGTAGTAAAGAATATATTATTCCTCGAATAATACGTAGTAATAATAATAGTAATAGTAATAATAATAATAGTAATAATAATAGTAATAATAATATTAATAATAATATTAATAATAATAGTAATAATAATATTAATAATAATAGTAATAAAGATGATAATTGATTTGTCAGGAAAAAAGTTTATTTTGACCAACATTTGGGTAAGTTTCAATCGCGAATAAGCACGTGAATACAAATCGAGTAAAGAAATTCAAATAAAGAAATCAAGTAAAGTAAATCAAATTAAAGTAAATCAAGTAAAGAAATCAAGTAAAGAAATCAAGAAAGGAAAGTAATGCAAAAAGATAATGAAGGAAATATAAGGAAAAAACATGAAAATTACTTAATGTTTTTTTTTGGGGGAGAATTAGTTAATTAGTTAGTAAGAGACATAAAGGTTGATAAGACTAAACTAGATTCGTAAAATTTCTTTGTTATTTTAATTTTTTGATACGTATAAAAAATCAAATCCGAGACAATGAGACCAAATTATTTGGTAACTATTATTAAGCATATAATATATACGGATATAAGTGAGACGTTTTTTTAATTATAATTGGTTTGTAAAAAAGGTTGATTGTCACAATGGTAGTACTTTTGATATATGTGCAGGTTTCTTTGTCTTTTAAAATGTAAAATGCTTAAAAAATATAATAATAATAGTCAAAAGCTGATTAAATCTGATTAAAGCTGGTTAAAGTTGATATTAGGATATACATAATATACATAATATACATAATATACATAATATATATAATATACATAATATATATAATATATATAATATAATAATACAATAACCAATATAATGGCATAAAGTTTTTACAGCTAAAACACGTACGTTAAAAATCCTATTAAAGGTACACCATTTACATATTTGACGTCTCACTTGAAAACCTTTTAAACATTAGAAGAAAGTCGTTTCTTATTTTGGTTACGCACAACATTGCACTAACGATACGCGGTGCTAAAGTTCCAAGAAGTTACAATGAGTCTTGTATCTTGTGGTGAACAAGAGACGCATATGGAATATCATCTCCAGCCCTATTGCATTTCTCTTAAAATTTTAAACGTTTTGCATGCGATATGATATGCTGGGAATAATCGCGTTTCATTCTTAGATATGAATTATATATTTGAGTTATATATATATGTTATATATGAGTTATATACGTATGAGTTATATATGATTTATATATGAGTTATATATGTATATGAGTTATATATGAGTTATATATGATCACCTGTTATTAAAACCATGAATAAAACTCGTTTTAATTTTATATTATTATGTTATATTACTTAAGCTAAATATTCTAATTATTACTGTTGCAGTATTGTACGTAAATTGAAAATTTTAAATAACTTGAACAAATATGTTAAAATATTATCATGTTCAAATACCATGTTCAAATATTATCATGTTCAAATAAGATCTGACCATTTTTACATCACGTGAGTAAACTCAATAACTTTTAATCACGTAAACAAGTCGCGAAAAAAAAAAATATCTGATATTACGTACATTACGTAATGCGCAATTTTTTTTATTAAAATATCGTGTTTATAGATTAAATATTAGATATATTGAATATATTACTGTATTAGATACGCTATTTATATATTGTTTATTATCAGTTATATATTATTTACATATTCGTTTTACATGGAAAAATTTAAAGTCAAAAAATTTTAAATTTTAAAATTATCACATGCGTTTTATCGAAAAAAAAAAATCCTCTTTAATCTATGTAAATATATGTATTTATATATATATATATATATTTATATTTTTTAAAACAAAATTACTTTACAAAGAAAAAAACTAGAAGCCATAGTTTTATGTTTTTTTTTTTTTGGTAATTTTTTTTTTATATGCAATAATAAAGATGCACAATAAAATTAAACAGAAATAGAAAGAAAAAAAAAAAAAAATTCTAACAAACACAAAAAATAAGATACTTTTATATTACGTCAAGAAGGTAACCATAAATCGAAAATGTCCTTTAAACATTCAACTTCATCAAGAAATTCCGCTCCTTGAAAATGTTTTAAAACACCAATGTTTCGATAAAAATTTATCAAACATTTATGATCATCTAATAAAGTAATTTTTGGTGATATGAATAAAGATAATCGTGGTTTTTTTTTCCATGAATCAAAAAATGTTCGAAGATGATCAGGTGTTAAAATCCAATCTCCATCAATATCTAAAACATTTAAACTATTAGGAGCATGTTTAATTAAAATTTGTAATAATCTAGTTATAGATTGTGGAATTCCATCTAATGGAAATGAACAAATTTTAAGAGCTTGTAAATTTGTACACGTTTTTAAAAATTTTTCAAATTCTTGATCAACTTCTTCTGTCCACCAAACTGTTGCAAATGTAAGATTTGAAAATGTATTATGAGTAAGAATATTAAGATAATTTCTAATATCTTCAGAATATTTAGGTGGACAATCTGTATTCCAATATATACGTTTAAGTGATCCTTTAGTATTTTGAATCAATTTTGTAAAAATTTCAAATGGTGTTTGTTCATCCCAAAATATATCAAGAATTTCAAGTTTTGAAAACGTTGATGAAGCAAATTCTTGAATATTTTTAATATGTCCCGACATAAAAAGTTTTAAAGTTTTTAAATTATATAAAGATCCAAGTGTTGATGGATGAATACATAAAAACCCTTGAAAATGAACATAAATTAATGTATGTGCTTGAGTTACAATTGCTTGTCCTATTAATGTACATTCAACTTCTCGTGCTTCAGGTGCATGTATTTCTAAATATTTTAAATTCGTTTGAAATTCAATAAGTGCAGCTAAACCTGCATTATCATCAAAACATGGATCTACTATAATTCCTTGTATACTTTTACAAGTTTGAGCCAATCCATAAAAAAGTTCAACTGAATGATCTGAACGACAAACGAGTTCTCGTAATTTTTGTAAACATAAACCAAATCCAGGACAATAAGAAAGTGGAGTCTTTGGTAAAACTAAATGTCTTAAAGATGATCGTGACATAAAAAGTTTATAAAGTTCTTGTTCAACTAAATAATCACGAAAAGGTCTATGATCACGTGGTTCATTAAAAGTTCTTTCATGAGTTAATTGATCAATAATTTCCGGTGATAAATGTTGACAATAACGAACATAATCAAACGTAGCTGATGCACAACCTTGTAATATTAAATCTAAACCATTTTTTCTAAGTAAATCTTTTGTATCAAATGAGAAACAAGAATAAACAGTTTTGATAATTAATGGCCAAAAAGTTTCATCAACTTCATCTTTAAAAGGGTTTTCATATTTCCAAGGATTAGTCCATAATATTGGAATAGCGACGGATGCCCATTGTTTATTTACTAATAAACAAGAATATAAGGAACATGCATTTTCAACCAAATACCTAAAAATCTGATCGAGACAATCATCTGGGAGTTTTTTAACCATTCTGATATTTAAGTGCAAGAATGATTCGATGGTCAACAAACATGAATAAGATCGATCCTTAAATAGATGATTAAATAGATGATTAAAAAAAAGGGTGATTAAAGTAGGAGATTAAAACAGATGGTTAAAGTAGGAGATTAAAGTATGATATTAAATTGGAAGAAGATTAAATAGGAGATTAAAATGGGAAATTAAATAAGGAGATTAAAATGGGAGATATCGTACGGAACGGATTCCCTGTCATCCAATTATTAAAATAATTCAGAATAGCCGTGAATAATAACAATAAAAAAAGTTGTTACTATTATTATTTTTTATTTTTATAGTCGTTACTAAAAAGTGTTATTTTGAATTATGAGAGGAAAACTTTTGGTTATATATAAAAAAGAATTATTTAAAAAGTTTCGCGTTGATGATGAGATAGAAAATCATGGAACATCCGAATATCTAATAAAAAAAAAGAAGGTCAAAATAAAACAAAAGAAAAAACATTGATTGTTTTTTTATAACAAAAAGAGAAAAGAAACCCTTACCAATCGAATCAATTCAGAGAAGAAGGAAAGGATTTATCATAAATCCTGGTCTAGCGGATTAAAAAGTAAAGATGAGCGAGATAAGTGAAAAAAAGAAAAAAAAGATAAATTTAAAATGAAACAGTTATATATATAAATTTATAATATATATATATGTATGTATATATATGTATGTATATATGTATGTATATATAAATATATACATAAATATATATTATACACACATATATATATATAATAATAATAATAATAATAATAATAATAATAATAAATATATATTGATTGATATATAAAATTCGATATCGATATTGGCTGCAATGATTTACGCAATGCGTCTGTCAGTTTTGATAAAACGGGATTATAAATACCTACAAAAGGGATGTCGGTATTTATGTATGCTTATTATATAATACCAATTAGCAAAAATGACAACAGATTGTCACAACAGGATTGGCTTCCATAAACCTTACATATCATATATATCATAAAAGGTGATTACCTCGAGGAAAAATCAAGATCGGCTGTTGGTTTCCCAAGCACGCGAATTAAATACATTTATGTTACGTATGTACTTACTTACGTACGTACAGTAGGAGCGATCATAATAATGAAAAACAGTTGAACATATAAATTTCCCGAAAATTGGTAGAATATTTAAAGTTATAAAATGAAAAGAATATGACATTAAAAAATGATTGTTTAAATGATCATTTAAATGATCGTTTAAATGATTATTACAAATTATTAAAATGGAACAAAGCTTTAGTGGAAATTTTTAATACAGTAATAACGATAAATAACCAATAAATAACAATAGTATTAAAAAAAATTTTGGTATTACGTGAGACATAGATACACTCCTTACAAAAAGTACGATAACAATTGACATACAGTATAATGTAATGTCATCGTGCCATACTAGCGTTATACCAGTGTTATACTAGTGTTATACTAGTGTTATACCGGTATTTTTATGTAACTTTCGGGTACAATTTTATAACTTCACATGCATTGGTCTTATTGATCTTACTGATCTTACAAAGCAGGTAATGAATTTGCTTCCTTTTGATACTTTGATACTCGATAGCGATAGAAAATTAATCATGCTGTACCCTTTTTGTTATGATAAAGTCATGGGATTTTAATTTTCGTGATTCCATCCACAATGTATTTGATAGATGTCGCCAATTTTATACGATTTTCTATTTTTATCTATCTATGCACATAAATATGACATCTTCGTATTTCTTTTTTTTTTTTATTTTTGTTTTTTTTTTGTTTTACAGTCTAAAATTTCACTATATTTCACCAAATTTCACTAAATTTTACTTTAGTATTAAACCTCACCTTGGTACTAGATTCGCTTTGGTACTAGATTCATTTTGCCACTACTAGATTCTAGATTCTAAATCTCACTTTGGTGTTTTTGTGTATATTTAAGTATGCTAAGTTGTTTAAATAAACGTCGAAATGTCGTTTTTTCCCCTTTTTTATATTTAAGACTCTATGTCTAGGTTTTCGGAATTAAGCCAGGCCTACTTTTTGTTCCTATTCATTTTTACGATCTATAACTGTTTTCTCTAGTAAACAAGATCTTGTATACAAACTGTTCGTATATCTATATCTCTTTCTCTTTTGGTAAAAAAAACAACGATTACATGTGATCAACTTAGGTTTGTTTTTTTTTGTCGATTAATTGTTTAACTTATTTGTGCTTTTTTTTCTAACGTCGGCTTTTACAACAGTCGATACTAAATGTATCACTGCACAGATTATCATAACTCTCGCATGTTGATATTTTGTTGATGAATGAGTTTTGTTGTTAAAATCTTGTGAAGAATTTCTTAACCGTTCAACAAACTTCTTATGAATATATCTTCGTGGAAAACTTTTAACGAATCTAGAAAGATCTTATCACCTCCTTTGGTTACGTGTATTGTCAATCGTTTAAATGAAAAAGGTAATTATGGTAACATTAGTACCACCGATTTTCATACGTAATGAATTATCAATTATCGTTATCAAATATTTGATAATTAAAAATAGTATACATATCGATATCAGATAAAAAAAAAAAAAAATTTCATCTCTTGATCGGTTTAGTATGATCAATGTGTATCAAATGTGTCAATAACATGGTGAGAATCTTTGGTAAATTGTTCAAAGAAAGGTGCATGCATAATCAACTCAAGTTTCAACAAGGTTTGTTTTCTATTTCTTTTTTTTTTTTTTTTTTTTTTTTTTTTTTTTTTTTTTTTTCTTTTTTTTTTTACACTAACGATTCTTATATTCTCATTTAAGAATTCTTATCTTGCTTTTTTTTTTTTGATGAAAAAATTTTACTATTTCTCTTTCATTGATTCTATATTTATTAATTCGATTCATATATCCGGTTTTATATCTCTGCTTTTTTGTTGATCTAGATGTGTTACCGTGTAGCAGCTTTACAATACCTCTACTGGGTGATTATGTTCTAATTTTAACTTTCACAATATAATCTCTCATGCGTTGTTTCTGGAACACTACAGGATTCGTGTAAGATATATTGTACAAATGGACATCTCCGAGCCAACACTTGAGCCTATGTTTGTCAAAGTGCTTATCACATGCATTCCTCCTGTATGATGTAAGGATTTTCATAGAATAGTCACCAGTTAGATGTTAATGATTTCTAGTATGTTAAGGGTGCCTTACTATTGCGACGTTTTGGGAATATTATTCCGGGTATGTTAGTTTCAAAGTAGATCTCTTTCATTTAATACGTGGTGATATTCTATTGGTTTTAGTATACTTGTTCTGAAGTGTACATACGTACGTTTGTACATTTCCAATCATGAACCTGCCATCAAAACATTGTACATCTATAATTTGTACATTTAAACTCGTTATCTACTTGAAAATTAATTCTTTTTTTTTCATTCATTCATGTGGGAAAAAATTACAATTTATTCATTTTCAATTATATATTCATTTATTAGGGTAACTTCAAAGATCTAGGAAATTTAATCGATTTTACTGGATAATTGAATGAACAATCAAAGAATACTTTACTTGTATAGGAAATTTGTTCTACGTACGTATACGTATTTTTGCTAACGCTAATGACTACCCAATACATATTAACGAGGTACCAAAGGGGCTGACTGTACATACATGGCAAAAATATACATATGTATATAATACGTATATATATGTAACTTTATAAATTTATTTATTTACTTATTTATATATTCTGCTTTTCAGGGGATTATATTAATTAGAATACATCGTTAAATCCTTAAATATCAAAAAAATCCACACCCTACTAAAATTAACAAATTTCTTTATAAAGATCATTAGTATATCGATATATATACTATTTATTTATAAATAAATATATTATATATAAAATATACAATTAAGATCTAATATAATTCTAGACTAATGAACCCATTAATAAATATATGATTTGTTTCTATCTTATCGATAAATCAAAATCAGCAATACGTATCGTTATCCCACATACATACGAACATCATATTGCCAACATGCACATTATTATTAGCGTTTGAAATTTCAAATTTAAATATTGTTCTCATGAAAATAGTACAACAGCTCATACGTATTAGTGTTCCGTGTTTCTAAAAAGCGTAAATTTGATATTTTCTAAAAAAGAAAACTCATATGGCAATCATTTGACCGATATCACTTGGAGTAATAATTTATAACTGATCATACGTAGTAAATCATTAACGTTAAACACATTTATAGCCTTCCACTTTTGCGACACCTATTTCACTTTTTCGTAGTTAATATATCCGTTAGATCACTTGTTAGTAAATAATTTGTTTTGTGAAATACATACGTAATACGAATCTTTTCTATATACAGAGCTTAACGATGGACTCTTGGTTATTACACAAAGTGATACAAAAACTACATTTTTGATGCTTTTTTTGATACATTCTCATAAATATTGTGAAGATCACATCAGAAATGTAATTTGAACAGATTGTGAACGGATAAAAATTATCAAATAACGTTTCCGATGTGTAATTTGTGTAATTTGCGTAATATAACCATTATACGTATGTATGACCCATAATACTATGGTATATACAACATGTAATCATTACAAGAATGAATGTTTTTATCTACATATCAATATGATACGTATAAAACCTACTGTGTAATGTATACTACACGTATAATCTATTCTATGAGAATGACAACCTGGAAGTGAAAAAAATCATGTTATTATGTATTTGTAATGAGTAATTTCAAAACACCGATCATCAATTCCGATATGATTTTTTCAGGAACTAAGTTAGTCCCTGTGAAAAATTTTCATTCTCACGTACTCAGTGATCTACAATAATAAACATTAAAAATAAGATCAATATATAATTTTAAGCTTTTTTCATTCCCAATATACAAACTTAAATTATATTGTAAAAATAAATATATAAAAGTAATATCAAGAAAACTTGTTATACTACTAGATTATCGGTATTGGTATCCAAAGCCATGGCATTAATAAGTCCAAAATATTCTGTTTATATCAGATAAATCCAAAACTTTCTGTTTATATCAGTTAAATGTAAAATAACGCCAACCCGCATGGCATTTAAGTGTTTCCATGTGAATTAAAGCATATATATAATGAACTGGATATACGTATTACAGTTTCATAAAATTTATTTACACATATATTACACATACAAATAATAACAAATTCACAAACCACTCCGAGTAGGGTTTGGGTATGGATGAAATCTTGAGCATGTCTTTAGGAGGCATCCCTTTAGAAGAGCTAAGGCATGTTCCTTCATATTGTGTTCAGGACATGTTCCTTTATATATATCAAGTATTATGTTACTAGATCTAATTATTACAAAAATTATGTAATATATATAAGTGCTGCAGAAAAAAAAACTGGATGTGAATATTTATGTTCTCATCATGGCAAATTTAGCTACTAAAGAACTTCTATATTATGTACTGATAAACAATGTTTTATAGTTTAGCAGGACATTGATTATATATATTAAGATGTCCTAAATCAGCGAATCTGTCACTAATCAAAGGTCAATTTTGTGTAACAGTTGTATGCTTTTCTATTAAAAAAGACGTGTATATTTGGTGAGCAAGTTCGATTTGGGTTGGGTTATTTAAGAATAGTCTACTTTAATGTTGTACATGAACATTGTTTCATCAAAATTGTGCGAATACAGATAGTTCGAACAGTATCTCATGTCCTAGACAATGATTATGTCTGCTGTTCTATGTCATATAGTTTATCAAACAACCTAATTGGCTAACATAACCATTCTTATTATAATTTTAATTGTTTAGAACAAAAAAATATTGGCAAACATATTTAGGATGTTCTGTCCTAAATTGTCTGCTGTTTGCATCCATGTTTCTAAACAATATTGGTCTACATTACTTTAGAACTATTATTCTATTATTACTAAAAGGATAGTAATTTATATTATTTTAGAAATAATAAACAAATAGAATAGAATTTTATTATAAGTATTTGTTTTAATAATAGTTCTATACAGTTACTTATAAAATATTCTGATTTAAAACTCTATTAGGGTGGTCTTCAAAATTACAGGTCACATGTAAAGCATCATTACTACAATTGTATGAGATTACAAAAAAATTTCTAAATTGTTTACTGCAATATTGATAAAACAAACCTTGATATTATAAACAAAAATATATAATAAAATAAATCTTTAGTGTAATGAAGTTATTAGTAAGTTTGAATATAACAGATTTTTTAAAATTTTCTAATTTCTTGTTATATCAAGGCAATATTGTATTGTTCAAGTTGCATTAAATTTTAATATATCATTTATTTATCTTATAAAATAGAACTAAACTTGATATTTAAATGTATAAGAAAGCAATCTTTTAGATTTAATATACAAATTTACTTTTAAATTCAGTATAAAAATATCAATTGACTTTATGTTTTTTAAAAATAATTACAATAAAATTTCTAAGCACATATAGGATTATAATAAAAAAAAACAAAAGTGTATTTAAAAGAATATATATTTATAGAGACAAAATATATAATACTTTTTATAAACTTAGAGATATTAAATTAATCCCAACTGGTCCTAAAAAAATTTTTAGTTTTGAAAATGATTTTTCAACATGATTTACTAATTAAATAAATTTATAATATCTTTTCATCTAGGATTATTTGTTGAAAATAAATAAAAAAAAACTTTTCTAAAGTATTAGCTCTCTTAAAACATAGTGTTTGAATTACAGTTCCAAAATAGTCCAGTCTAAAATAATTATAACAAAATTGTTGCTTTTTTTAATAGGATTTTTTTCAAAAACTATTAATAAAACTTATAATTATTTTTCAATAAAGATTATTAAAAGCAAGTTAGTAGACTTCTAAATTTATGATTTGAAATTTTACATTTTAACTATAAAACTAATTAATATTCCTATATAAGTTAAGACTAAGTCATATCATAAATTTAGAGGAGAATTTATAGCATACACTTATTGAGCATACAAATAGAATATTCTTATTGTATATTTTTTATTTGTATCAAAATTTTTACACTCTATAAAAAAAATTTATCAATATTATTTTTTAAGAGAATGCTGAGAATATAGTTTTAAAATTAAATTATTTTATTATTATAAAAAATATTTGGATGATTATCTTATTTGTTTAAACAGTTTATTATTGAATAAATAAAAAAACTTTCTAAATATAATTAGTATATTTTTAGTATAAATAATCATATAATTGTTATGATAAGAATTTAAATTTGATTGATTAAAATTAACTTACTATGTTTAATAATAATTTGTTATTATTATGTATCATGTAAAATAATTAATTTGTAATTGTTATCATACTTCAAATAAATAAAATTTAGTTTATGCAAAATTGTAATTAGTATGACAAAATTAGATTTGTTATATCAATAATTATTTATTTTAGATATTAAGCAATCATGCTAAATGAGATAATTGTTATATGAACATAAATTTTTTTATTTTAAATTAATAAAGCTAACTTATTATATTTAATAGCTACATATTTGTTTGTTTAGAATGTTTAAACATTGTATATATTGCACAAAGTAATTAATATTTTAAATTTTGTAATTGTATATATTTTGAAAAGTTAATATAAAATAAATTAATCTGCTAAAATAAATTTATTAATAAATATTATATTAACAATTAAAATATTAAAAAAGTTTTATAAAGAATGTAGCTCAAATGTATTAATAAAAACAATTAAAGTCTTTTCTAAATAGTTTTTTTCAAAATTAATAAATTATATAATTACTTATCTCTTATTGTTCTTAGTTTTTCTCAGTCATTCTAATAATAAAGCATATATTAATTTTTTTCTAATAAATATTAAATATAATTTACTAATGGATAGTAAAAATACTAAAAAACAAAATAATATATTGATTAATAAACACTAATAACTTAAAAACATTTTAAGTCTTATTTACAAAACTAATAATGATTTGTTCTAATTACAAATATAACTGTTCTGAAGATTAATTTATTTAAAAAGATACTTAGCACAAGACTTGCTAAAGATACAAAGTAAGTCATAACTAAAAAAGTAAAAAGAAATTAACTATTAAACAACCTAAAAGTGTTAAGCATAACATTTTCAGAAAATAAATATTAATATTGAATATATTGAAGTTGATTATCTTGATGTAAATGATTTAATTAAGCATCAAATTAATAAATTAATAATAAATAAAACTGTCAATCTGATTAATTAAGTCTGTTTGTTGGTAAATATAGATATAACACCAAATATAATAGCAAAAGACATTGCTTCTCTTGTTAGTTATCACTAAAATAGAATATAGTAATAACTATTTGTAGAAGTAAGTATTATAAAATATTTAAAATTATATTAATTTTATTACTACTAGCTAATATTGAAATTAGATAATATTAAAATTAGTTAATATTAAATTTGAACTTATTTTAATATAAAAATTTTTTAATAGCCTTTTTTTTTTTTATCTTCTCTGTTCTTATTATTCTCATATTTTTCTTATTTATTATTTTGTTTATTCATTTATTTAATTATTATTAAATAGAGTTCAAATCTCAATAACAGTAAAAATTTGCAATTCTTTCTGTATTAAGGTTAACTGTCTTCTATGATTGATTTGAATTAGATATCTGTAACCCATGTCATATCAGTATGACTAGAAGGTCTAGGCATATATACAACATTGTATGAAGAAACACAAAGTGGTACCAGGCAGTATGAATCCAAAATAAGTTCTTAGACTATATAAATCACAAAAACCAGGTAGGAAGATGAAAGCCTACTTAAAAGACCTGAGTAAAGAGGTAATCCAAACTTTTAACAATGTTACTGTAAAGACTAGATTTATGAAACTGAGCTAGAACTTGTGAAACTAGATAAATATACTAGTCTTTGAGAAAGGATCAGATGAACCAACCAGGTTATCAGAATTTCTGAGTTTTGAAAAAAAAAAGGTATATGTTAGCAAATATGTAAACCAGAGGTATGATTATAGCCTATCTTTTTGAACTATCTGGAATGGCAACTTAGTAGAACTTGTATTGAATACCAAAGTAGTAAGAATATATTGTAAAGTTAGTATCAAAATTGAGATAAACTCTACAAGAACATAGCAGTTTAATAATACACCCTAATCAGAATTGACATATTTACAGTATCTATTAGATTCAATGAAGTAAAACTCTATTAATATTGGTCTATTGCTCTATTAAGAATAATTTGTCAATAAAGCTAATGAAGTCTAACAAGATACTATAAATACTATATATAAATTATATAATATATATATTATATATTATATATTTTAATTTATAAAAATATTGATAATTTTTGATCCATTAATCTGTTTTGGATATTTTAATCATTGAAATGTTTGTCTTAATGAGATGAATATTTTAATAGTTAAAACATTTAAAATGGATCAGTATATCAAAAGTTATTCATGATTATATAAATTAGAATATATCAATATTATATAAATATGATTAGTTGGTTCAATAGAGTCAATAGAGCTAATGGATACTATTCCATTCACTTCATTGGGTCCATTGATAATTTTTTCAATAGATTTTATCTATTGCCAACCCTAATTCTAATTATTAGTGTTGATTTTGGCTATAGTGATACTGAGTCAGCTATAAGAATAGAATACAAAAGATTCTGAAAGGTTTAGTACAAGGTCAAAGTTTCTAAAGAAACTTTAAAAACTTAGTGATCATAATATATTTTCACTGGCATCAGCCAGAGTCATTAGTAGACAGAAGTAGGTAGGTAAATATAGAAACTAAAGTAATTAAATAAAGAACCTACAAGCAAGTTCTAGGTATAACAGCTAGTATAGAACCTTTGAGTAGACTACATAAATTAGACAATAACTAAAGTTATACAAGTGACTAGTTGTATACTCTTTATATGATTGCTTTCTGTAATTGTAATATAACCATTAGCCAAATATACTATCAATAAAATCCTAGATTGCAAGTACTCATCTTAATATTTTTTTTTAAAAAAAATAGATTTCAAATTTATTATTAGCTAAAATAATTATTTTTAACTAAATATATACTTATAATTGTAGCTTTTGGTTTACTAAAATATCTAAAAAATTTGATAATAAGATTGGTCAGTTCTATTATATATGCTGCCAATTAAATAAGACACAAAAAAAGTATAAATCTCTAATCACAAATAATAAACTTATTATGATTGCAAGAGTAAGATTATAATACAAGTTAATATGGACTTTGGTAGTATAATAATGAATATTTATTATAGATTTCTTTATCTACATTTAGAACTTTGTATTAAAATGTCTAATAAGTTACAAGAAAAAATTGAAAATAATGCTGATCTTATTACTATGAAGCTTATAAATTGCTTGTGATATTAAGGCTTTAACCTTAAAAATTATTTATTAAAATGAATTTATTTTTGAAGTTTATTGTGAATCAAAAACTTTTTTAACATTATAAAAATTATGTTGAATTAGTATATATACTTTTTGATAAGCACAATGGTCAGAGTTTTTATCAGCACTTTGATTGTTAAATTTAAAGTTTACAGTAATTATATTTACAATCTTATAATTAATTGAAATTAATTGCTATAGCATTAATATTAATAAAATTTATATTAATACAATGTATAAAACTGCAAGAGAGCATTACAAGTTGTATAGTATAATAGTAAATATTAATAGAACTAAGTTTCTAATTGCTTACCTAGTTTTTGATACAACAAAAAATATTAATATAGGTAAGAACTTAAATTTTTATCAATAAATTGTAACTGTTTTCAGCTTAGCAATAATATTTATATTTAACCTTTAGTATTTTTCTGTCCATAAAAATTAGGTAATGATAATATACATCTTAAGCATAGCAAAATCTTAAAAAAATTCTTTGAGGCTATAAAAGCACACAATATTAATCCAAGTTTTATGTTTATAGACAAAGATTTCACTAAAATTAATGCTAGAATAGTAGTATAGGAGCTATTAGTAGTGCAATTATGTGCTTGGCACATAAACTGCTTCTGAAGTTTAAACTTTAAGAAAAGACTAGACAGTCAAGTAGTACCAAATTGTTGACTATAAATTATAATACAATCAAGTAACAAATAAATTTAATTTTATAAATCCAACTTTCTATTTAACTGAAAATAATAGAAACCCACAAACATATATTATATGCTTACAAATATATTATAAAACAATATTAAACCTAGTATAAAAACACCTTATTTTAAATTCTTTTATACTAATTAATAACCAAGAAAATGTTTTGTTACCTAAAAATATAAAACATAATGCAGTAAAAATGATATATTAGTTTTGTATTACAAATTCATTGTAGTTGTTATAGGCTTATCTTTAGACTAACTGATATTCTTTTTAATAGTAGCACCTATAGGCATAGTTAACCAAACCTATTATTCTCTTTAGTAAAACTATAATGAAAATTAAGACACATTGAAGTGTTCTTAAGCAATGGTACTTACATCACTTTAATCAACTAAAACTGAATTTGCTTTTCTGAATACTCTTTAAAGAAGCAATTCTAGCTCAAAATAAATAATTTTCTCAGGTTTTAAAT